GGAAATACATTCTTAAGTGAAAAGGATTCCAAAATAGTATCTTTTTTTGGAAAATTATCTCATCGGAAAATATCAGCCAGGCGCAGTGGCTCACACATGTAATCTAAGCACTTTGGGAGGCCAAGGCAGGAGGACTGCTTGAACCCAGAGTTTGAGACCAGCCTGGGCAACAGTGTGAGGCCCTGTATCTATAAAAAATAATCACATAATAATAATTTTTTTTTAAAAGACTGGGTGCAGTGGTTCATGCCTGTAATCCCAGCACTTTGGAAGGCTGAGGCTGTCAGATCACTTGAGGTCAGGAGTTGGAGACCAGCCTGGGCAACATGGTAAAACCCATCTCTACTAAAATACAAAAATAAGCTGGACATGATGGCACATGCTGCAGTCCCAGCTACTTGGGAGGCAGAAGTGAGAGAACCGCTGGAACTCAGGAGGCGGAGGTTGCAATTGTGCCACTGCACTCCAGTCTGGGGCGACAAAACAAGACCCCATCTCAAAACAAATAAACAAAAAAAACCCAAAACAATTATGTGCTCCTTACCTGTAGTTCCAGGAACTTGAGAGGCTGAGGCAGGAAGATCACTGAAGCCCAGGAGTTTGAGGCTGCAGTGACTAGTGACGGCACCACTGCACTCCGGCTTGGGTGACACAGTGAAGCCCCATCTCTTAAAAAAAAAAAAAAAAGAAAAGAAAATATCTACATGTGAATTGACAAAAAACAACGAATGTACATCACAATATTATAACAACGATTTCTGAAGTATGAAGCACTCTGAGTAATCTTCATTTTCTTTTTACCTGTTTCCTAATTTTTATATTGTGAACACATATTATTTTTGCAGCTATAAACCAAAAATGTATGCCAGCATAAGGTATAAAAAAATTCATACCTATTTATAGGCCGGGTGCAGTGGCTCATGCCTGTAATCCCAGCACTTTGGGAGGCCAATGCAGGCAGATCACCTGAAGTCTAGAGTTCGAGACCAGCCTGGCCAATGTGGTGAAACTCTGGCTCTACTAAAAATACAATAATTGGCCAGGTGTGGTGGCAGGCGCCTGTTATCCTGGCTACTGGGGAGGCTGAGGCAGGAGAATCACTTGAACCCGGGAGGCAGAGGTTGCAGTGAGTCGAGATCACACCATTGCACTCCAGCCTGGACGACAAGAGAAAAATTCCATCTCAAAAAAAAAAAAAAATTGTGCATAATACTGTCCTTGTAAGGGTGTGGTAGAAATGGCTTTACAGGCAGTATTTATTCTAACTTCCTTCTGGCGTGCCTCCCTGTGCTGCAGAGGCTGGGGAAAAAAAGTCATGTTTCCTTGACTCCCTTGCAGCTGAGTTGCTGAGTACGAATTAGTGTCCACCAGTAGATAAACCTTCTTGAGAAGGAGGCCACAGTATCAGCGGTGCCCCTGTCTGCAGGAGCTTGGCGGGGGCAGCAGCAGAAAACCAGAATTCATCTCCAGCTCTGAGCTCAGAGGGAGTCGGAGCTGGGGCAGATTCACTCCTGGATCGTGGCTGTAGCAGAAGGTTCTTGAAGCCAACAGTTTGGGTGGTGGCCTTCTAATTTTCCACCTTCCTGATATCCTGGAGGTTGTAGTGATCCTGGCAAGCCTGTTTGGTATCATTGCTCAGTGTTCTGGGAATCATTCCTGGATACCTAGCCTCAATAGGCAGCCTTGCTAGCAGTTTTATAATTGCCCAAATCATCCTAGGCCTAAAATAGCTGGTTGTTTCTGTTTCCTGAGACGCAACCTGACTGACATAAGGGCTCATGAGCTATTTGGGGATAAGCTTGTGCTGAAGGAAAACACACATTCTATGACAAGTCAAATGGAAGCATTAATATATCAAGTTTCTCGGAATCCATCTGAATTGCAGAAAGAAGAGTAAAAATATCAGGAACAAGTGCCAAACCTAAAACACAACGAGGAGCTTCAAGTATAAATGTAACAGAGTCACAGATTTCCTCTCTTTTACTAAGACTTGCAGGTACAATATCACTTACATATTTCTCTAGAATGGCTCACTCTTCCTATGAGCCTTATCTCAGTGGATTTTGCGGTGGGGTGGTGAGGAGCAGGGATACTCAATTAAGTTTGCCTGTTTGTAGAATTTTGGCTCAAAGAACTCTTTTCCTTAGTGTAGCGGCACAATCTTTCAGAGTTCTCAGTTTCTCCATAGTGTCTGGATGCCCAGGGCTATGTGGTTAAGTGTACTGGGTGCTCTGGTCCCATGCTGGTTTCCCATGTGAATTGCCTGGTCTGGCCTGGTCCCCAGCCTCAGATCTCTTGAAGGACTCACTGATTCCATTTAGGACAGGGGCATCGTGATGTTACTCACTGCTGGAGTCTGTGATTGCAGTCCTTGCGTCTGATCACAGATCTTCCTACTCCGTGGCTTCTTCCTCTAGGCCTCTACCATTCACCAGTCTCAGAGCACTCCCAGCCCCACTCTGGGGTGTACATGGTTACTAGATCCTTGGCCTGCCTCTTGCAGGCTGTAGGGCCTGCCCCAGGTCCACACATTCATTCCTACCCTCTGTCAGAGGCCATGCTGCATGAGGACAGTGCTGTGTTGAATGTGGAGTCCACGTGGCTTCTCCTGGCCTTCCAGGTGGATCAGGAGGCAGATGCCCCTCTGCTTTCAGCTGCACAGCTTTTTAAATCTTTTTTTTTTTTTTTTTTTTTTTCAGACAGAGTCTTGTTCCATCACCCAGGTTGGAGTACAATAGCACCATGTTGGCTCACTGCAACCTCCGCCTCCCAGGTTCAAGCAATTCTCCTGCCTCAGCCTCCCAAGTAGCTGGGACTACAGACATGCACCACCATGTCCAATTAACTTTCATACTTTTAGAGATGGGGTTTCATCATGTTGTCCAGGCTGGTCTTGAACTCCTGACCTCAGGTGATCGCCTGCCTTGGCCTTCCAAAGTGCTGGAATGACAGGTGTGAGCCACGATGCCCAGCTGCACATCTGACCAGCATCCATGCCAACGATCAACCTGGCGAAGGGAGGCAGGGACACAGGCAACTGTCCCCTTGCCTCCACATCTACTGGGATGGCAGGGGTGATGTTTTCACTTCTGACCCTCAGCAGTGGAATTCCTCTGTGTCCTTATCTACTCCCTTCCAAACAGCAGGGACCCTGTACAAGATAGGATCCAAGGAGATAAATTAACTTGCCAATGAGCAACGGCCAAAGATGCTGCCCGCTTTGTGTTAATAAAATCTGCTCATGATGATTTCCGCAAATGATGCCCATCCTCGCTGCTTTGGCTCCTTTCTCCTAACACTTACTAAGAAGGAAGACATTGGGCAGATAAGAGTCTGAATTTTATTTCCATCCTCTGCTTTAAAATAGGGCACCATGAAAAACAGACCTGTTAGCTGTGGAAGCTGTTTGCATTGGAGAGTGAAGACAACCTCCTGTCCTTCAAAAGATTACATAAGAAAGGCCCAAAGTCTCCCAGTGAGAGAGGGGAGAGCTTTCCTTGCCAGTATCTGAGGAAACAGAGTGGAAGCATGAGCTCTTCCCTGCAATAAGATTCATGTCATTAAGATCTATGGATTTTCTGGGCTAGGCGTGGTGGCTCACACCTGTAATCCCAGCAATTTAAGAGGCTGAGGTGGGTGGATCATTTGAAATGAGGAGTTAGAGAGCAGCCTTGCCAACATGGTGAAAACTTGTCTCTACTAAAAAAATACAAAAATTAGCTGGGCATGGTGGTGCATGCCTATAATCCCAGCTACCTGAGAGGCTGAGGCAAGAGAATTGTTTGAACCCAGGAGGCAGAGGTTGCAGTGAGCCAAGATTGTGCCACTGCACTCCAGCCTAGGTGATGGGGAAAGACTGTCTCAAAGAAAAAAAAGGAACTATGGATTTGCCTTAGCAATGGTCTCTCTCCTCCTTAGTAAAACATGTTTTGGTATAAAAATCCAGATAATTGAACCATTGCCACTAGACGTTTCGAGGTTCCTATTGACAAGATTTCAACACTTTTATTTTTAGTTTTTAGAGATGGGGCCTTGCTCTGTTGCCCAGGCTGGAGTGTAATATAGTGATCACGGCTCACTGTAACCTTGAACTCCCTGGCTCAAGGAAGTCTCCCACCTCAGCTTCCTGAGAAGCTCAGACAGGTGTGCGCTACCATGCCTGGCTAGTTTTTATATTTTTTGTAGAGATGGGGTTTCGCCATGTTGCCCAGGCTGGTCTCGAACCCCTAGGCTCAAGAAATCCTCTCACCTTGGCCTCTCAAAGTACTGGGATTACAGGTGTGAGCCACCATGTCTGACCACTTTCAACACGTATATTGTTGGGGTGAAACTTAAACATATGAGGATTTGTTCAAAGTATATGTAGAGAAGGCAAAATTCCACACTGTTGCATCCCACCTCGGACTGGATGTGCTTGCTGTGCAGAGTGAAGGTGGAAAACGAGCTAGAGGTCCTGAACTGATCAAATAAATCTCCCCGAGGAACAGGCATTTGGCATCCCATTCCACAGGATGGGGCAGATGTGGCTTATAGAACCAGGATTATTCACAAAGAGGTTGTTCTTCTGCATGTAAAGGCTGGAAGAGCCGTGTACTTGGATGTGTCAGCACCAGGGAGAGCACAGGCTGAGTTGGTGGGCCTGGGATGGGAAGGGGGGCTGTCTGGCAGGAACTGAACATTTGACATCATGGGCACTTTGCAGAGGAGGCTAAATGGTTCCAAGGAGATACGTGGAAGCTAGTCACAATGGGTGAGTCATAAAGAGAAAGCTGGAGCTGGGGATCCTGGAGGGAGATGATCAGAAGGTTGGTTCACAGGACTCAGTTTGAATGGGACTTGTTTGAGAACCCAGTATGGACGGGACTTGTGGCAAGCAGTCCAGCACAGCCTCATAGTGCAGAGCATGGGCTTTGCATCCTGCCCTCACCCTAGCTTTGTGACCTTGGGTGAGGTACATAACTTCTCATGTGTAAGGTGCTCATCATAATGATTCTGACCTCAGTGGTTTGTTGTGTTACAGGAAATGATGTCAGTGAATCCATAGCCCCAGCCTCAGCACAGGGCAGCCACCGTGAAGCTCTTAAATATCACTGTTGTTAATACAGAGAGGGAAACCAACTGCAACGTGCTGCCCAAATATAAGTTTTACTCATATTTTGATGTTAGGATGGATAGCTTGGAAAAAGTTGGAGGGAACGGCCTTTATTATCAGGCATCTATGAAGGATCAGGAATGGATATAGACAAGGAACTAGTAATGGAAAGTGTTACACCTGGAGCCCCTGGAAAACCAGAAATGAGGCTGGGCACTAAGGAAGAAACAAATGAAGGTGACGCTAATGGTAAGTGGGGACGGAAAGAGGGTTGCCTTAAAGACATCTGCAGTTAGGGAGTGGGCAGGGTGTTGAACCAAGAAGGGAAAATTGTGGTTTAAGAATATGTACACAGAACATACATGTAATCACACGCTGTTTGACCTACTATTGAATGAGTTATTCAGATTAATACATCATTCATCAGAATTCATTCGTGATCTCTAAGAGTGACATCAGTTTCCTTGGGGTATGATAATAATTTGTTAGGTTCTTCTTTTGCATTTCTATTTTATTTATTTACTTTTTTTTTTTTTTTTGGGTACAGAAAGTTCATTACAAGTCTTGTCCAGCAATGTGCCTCTCCTGGCCCTAGACTTCTTGGACACAGCCCAGGCAAAAGAGAAGGTCTTTCTCCCCACGGTCAGCCACACGTTCCACATGCCCATAGAGGAGTCCGACACCCCACAGCAAGGCAATGACTTACCCGAGTCCTCAGCAAACACCAGCCAGCCCAAGCAGGATGACATCCCCAAGTCCCCAGAAGAAACCAGGCAGCCCAAGGTGGGTGACATCTGCAAGTCCCCAGAAGAAACCATCCAATCCAAGAATGACCTCCCCAAGTCCTCAGAAGAAGCCATTCAGCCCAAGGAGGGTGACATCCGCAAGTCCTCAGCAAAACACATCCAGCCCAAGCTGGGCACTATCCCCAAGTCCTCAGCAAAACCCATCCAGCCCAAGCTGGGTACTATTCCCAAGTCCTTAGCAAAACCCATCCAGCCCAAGCTAGGCAGTATTCCCAAGTCCTCAGTGAAGCCCAGCCAGCCCAAGACCCCAGAAGAAACCATCCAGGCCAAGGAAGGTGACATTCCCAAATCCCCAGAAGAAACCGTCCAGGCCAAGGAAGGTGACATCCCCAAATCCCCAGAAGAAACCGTCCAGGCCAAGGAAGGTGACATCCCCAAATCCCCAGAAGAAACCATCCAGGCCAAGGAAAGTGATATCACCAAGTTCCCAGAAGAAACCATCCAGGCCAAGGAAAGTGACATCACCAAGTCCCCCAAAGAGGCCATCCAGCCCAAAGAGGGTGACATCTCCAAGTTCCCAGAAGAAGCCATCCAGCCTAAGGAGGGTGACATCCCCAAGTCCCCAGAAGGAGCCATCCATCCTAAGGAGGGTGACATCCCTAAGTCCCCAGAAGAAGCCATCCAGCCCAAGGAGGCTGACATCCTAAAGCCTGAAGAAGAAACAACTGAGTCCCTGGAGGGGGACATGGTGAAAATGATCCTGAGCAAGGAGGACTTTGAGGCAGCATTGAAGGAGGCTGGGCAGAAGCTGGTAGCTGTGGACTTCTCAGCCACGTGGTGTGGGCCCTGCAGGACCATCAGACCATTCTTCCATGCCCTATCTGTGAAGCACGAGGACGTGGTGTTCCTGGAGGTGGATGCTGATGACTGTGAGGAGGTGGTGAGAGACTGTGCTGTCATGCGTGTTCCAACCTTTCAGTTTTATAAAAAAGAAGAAAAGGTGGACGAGTTTTGTGGCGCCCTTAAGGAAAAACTCGAAGCAGCCGTTGCAGAATTAAAGTAAACATGCATTCTGCATTGTAGACAGTCAGATGTTTATAGCTTTTGAGTTCTTTTTTATTGTTTGCAAAAAAAGATCAGGTATAACAAAAATGTATGTCCAAATGGCACTGCTTGTACATGGTAATATTAATTCTACCCTTTTCAAAAAACAATCCAAGCATTAAGGTACATTGTGACTATGTTTCTTTTGGTTGGAGAGTGTAAAATTAGAAATTCCTCTGATGAAGATTGGTAAGTCCCACTGTCTCCTATTTTTCAATCTTGATATGTATTTATGTTTCACTTGCCCTTGAAAAGTCCGCTATTTAGTATTTGCAGCAAGACTGAAAATTTAGATAATTTTTCTGTAGAGGTGCATGACTGAAAAATGAATAGAAACTTCTTTTCTCACGCTCACATATCTTTGGGGATTCTAATAAGATATTTTTGGAAATAAGGAATTTGAAAGATTCACATCTCAGCTAACCTCCTTCTTGAGCCAGGAGTGCTTAGAGGCCTTGGGAAATTCAGTGGGTTGTCCAAGATCTGATTTGTTGGTGACAGAATGAGATCAATGCTGCTTCCAGATTTCAAGTCCAGGGCTCTATCTACTATAATCTATGCTCACAAAATCTGAGACAAAAGCTCAGAACTTAGGTTTCTCAGAAGTTGAAGTCCTCCGGATCTTTTCTGCCATTATGACATCATGCCCTGATGGCAGAGTTTCTGGTTTGTCTCCCTGGTTACTGGGTTCCTAATATCTAGACCTTCCTCTGACTTTTTAACTTGAATTGGTTCTTGTTTTCAATATTGAACAAACTCATCTTTAACATGACTCTACCAGCTTAGACATATAGGCCAAGACTTTAATGAATTAACCTAATCATGGTGCTACCAGAGTCTTGTTTGGACAACTTAGGGAGCCCCAGATGTCTGTAAATCCAAAGGCCCAGGTCTAAACCATAGATGGAGGCTTAGTCGAGAGTGGGTTTTTTAAAATGAATAAAATCAGCTTTATTAGATATAACTGATATACAAAGAACTGCACATGTTTAATGGAGAGAGTTGGATGAGTTTGGACGTGTGGCATATGCTGTTGATTACCATCTCCACCATCAAAGTAATTAACACCTTGATTGCCTCCAGAAGTTTTCTTGTATCACTGTGCTTTATTGTTATTACTGTCATGGTTAGAGCACTTAACAGATCTACTCTCCTAACACATTTTTAAGTGTCCAGTACTGTTACTTAAACTAGTGTCATGACGTCGCACAGCAGATCCATGGAACTTACTCATTGATGAAGCTGAAACTTAACAACACTGAACAATTCCCTGTTGCCCCTTCCCCCACTCTCTGGCAGTCACCATTTTACTTTTTGCTGGTCCAGAGGTTTTTTTAAATTCGAATTCATTGCCAACATTTAAAACATCGGGGCCGGGCGTGGTGGCTCACTCCTGTAATCCAAGCACTTTGGAGGCCGAGACAGGTGGATCGCCTGAGTTCGGGAGTTCAAGACCAGCCTAACCAATATGGTGAAACGGCATCTTTAAAAAAAAAAAAAAATTTGGATTTTTTTTTTTTTTAATCTAGATGTCTAGCTTTTCTTGAAACATTGTAAGATCTGGCAATCCAGGCTTGCTTTATCTCAAGAAAACCAATCTAACCTTGGGGTCTGAGTGGCAGCTGCCTCCATCTGATAGGGCACACTCTCTCCAGTCTTCTGCTGCAGAACCTGGCTGGCTTCTTCACATAGCCAGCTGAGTTGCAATCCCTATCTTGAGTTCAAGACTGGGACTGGGCAGGCGGATCACCTGAGGTCAGAGGTTTGAGACCAGCTTGGCCAACATGGTGAAACCCCATCTCTACTAAAAATACAAAAATTAGCTTGGCATGATGGCACGTGCCTGTAATCCCAGCTACTCGGGAGGCTGAGGCAGGAGAGTCGCTTGAACCCAGGAGACAGAGGTTGCAGTGAGCTGAGATAGTGCCACTGCACTCCAGCCTGGGCAATAGAGAGAGATTCTGTCTCAAAACAACAAGAACAACAACAAACAAATTCACTGAGAAATGAACATAAGAAAATAAAAAGCAGGTTAAAATACTAAAAACAGAATTATCTCTATTTAAATTGGACAAAAGGCACAATGTGTTGTCACTGCCTGTCTCTGTGTGAGAATATTTTTTTCTTTAATTCTCATTTTGTTTTATCCTGATTACTTTATATACAAAAAGAAAAAACAATCAATGGAATACTTTGAAGACTCCAACTGTTTAGATACTGCCGGGGAACACAAACAACTGCTAGAAAATACAAAATCTGGGAAGCCTGAGCAAGGGGGAGTAGGTGAATGGCCCAAGCTCAAGGTGTTCTGGCAGAGCCTCCTAATGCCGGCCTTATCCAGAGTTTCTGTATTCCAGTTGCGCATTTTGGGCCTTCTAGGCTTCAGATTACAAATGGTCTAAGAACAGACCAAATCAGAAGTTCTTCTGTTTGGAGATGAACTATGTAAGTGATCATGGGTGTTATGGGGTAGCTGATATATTCATTTTTTCATTGTGATATATATTCATTTTTTCATTGTGACTGACAAAAGCCCAACTCAAACCTGCTCTGGCAAAAATGAGAGGGTACTGAATCTTGAAAATGGAAATTCTAAGGAGATCAACTACTTAAGGTAGATTCAGGGATTCAAACAACATCAGAACACAGTTTTCTACCTCTTAGCTCTCCTGTTCATCTTGATTTTATCATCAGTTGCTTCCGTGGCTCATAATCACAGATAAAAAGGTGAGCCTGTCTCCTGATAATCCCAACAAAAGTCACAGGAAAGACTCTGATTGGCTGTACCATGCACCAATCCCTGAACCACTCTGTGTATTTGGAAGAGTTGAAGGGCTCCTGACTGGTCAGGTTTGGTCACTTGTGCACACTCAGAGCAGGGTCAGTCCCAAGCCTCAGGAGCTGAGTGGATTACCATGGCAATGGGAGGGAGGAAGATCTGTCTGTAGTCAGACACATAGATTGCAAGGGATGGCATTTCAGCACTCAACATTAAACCAAGATACCACATTAAGAATATGGAGAATATGTTCAGAATCACCCTTATCTCACTTATAAATCCCCATGAAATACCAAACCCAATAAGAAGAGGCTATGCATTTATCAAGTTCCTTTTAAACACATCTTCTCATTTCACTTTCATCCAACCTGGTTTCCTTGAATCTGCAACTATCCAGCCTTAAAACTAAATAGTTATCTGTGCCTTATTCAAATGAAAAATGATCTTATGATAGTAAGTAACTTTTGCTAATGTTGGCATATGAGATATAAATCAAAAGAGACTGTGAAATCTGATGAGTGAATGCTTAGAAAGATTCAAAGGATGGCTGGGCATGGTGGTGGCTTATGCCTGTAACCCCAACACTTTGGGAGGCCAAGGTGGGCGGATCACCAGGTCAGGAGTTTGAGACCAGCCTGGACAATAGATGAGTGTGGCCAAATTGCTGAAACCCCGTCTCTACTAAAAATACAAAAATAAGCTGGGTTTGGCGGTGAGTGCCTGTAATCCCAGCTACTCGGGAGGCTGAGGCACAAGAATTGCTTGAACCTGGGAGGTGGAGACTGCAGTGAGCTGAGATCATGCCATTGCACTCCAGCCTGAGTAACAGAGCAAGACTCTGCCTCAAGAAAGAAAACAGAGAAAGAGAGAAAGAAAGAAAGGAAAAGGATATAAACAGGGTGTGATAGTTCTGGGGTCTGTTCTTCTAAGTGATGCTTTTGAAACATGTTTTTCTCTAAATATGAACAATCTGGTTATTCATAAACTATGCCTTTAGTGTTCAACACTTCTGTCTTTTTGAGACTCAAATGGTATTTCAAATAATTTACATTCAGCAAATACTAGAAAGTTATGGTATGTTGTTACTTAGAATTCTATAGTGATTTTTGGCAGATTTTTAAGTTTCCCAGAACTTGTAAGAGAACTGTGAAATGCTACACTCTATGGAGATAAAAGTTAACTAAAAAACAAAGCAAACCAAGAGATAAAAAGAAAAGTTAGGCTGCAAGTTTTGAAATAATAATGGCACTTGAACCACGAGATCCTTTAATACCCACATGAAAATAGAGACCCAGTGCAACAATGACAAATATTTGGATGTAGATATCACGGAGTCAGATAAAACTCAAGGCTGTAGTCTAAAGTTTTAAGGAAATCAAAAATTTCAAACTCCAGAATGGAAAGAAGATAATTTATAGAAAAATGAAGAAGTTAATGATAGAAAACGGTAAATAGGAAAAAGTTAGGGCCAGTATTGACAGGTAGTAGTTGAAATGTAGAAAAGTGGATTGTGAAAACAATGGAAAAGAAAATGTGATCGTCCTGCTACATATTGATTTGAAGTGTATATTATGTTTACACAAGTTGAGGGTCATCTTTATTTAGGTTAAGATGGTAATTTCAAGTAAGAGGCAGATATGGCATGGAGAAGGACAAGGAAGAGTAAGGTTGTCCTCGTAAGTTACGTTTCTGCTGACCTTAATGCTGTTTTCATGAATTCCTGGTTTAGAAAACTAAAAGTTCTCTGATCTCTGGAGAGGCACCTTTCTGATAGGTATTGAGAAAGGGTGAAAACAAAACAAAACAAAATGCTGCTTCTCTCTCCCTGCCCTATGAAAGCCTCAAAACCTTGGTGTTTAAAAGACAAAGTTAAATGCAATTCTAATGACTCATAGATCAATATCTTTCACTGACCTTAGGAAAATACACGAGAAAGTCACCAGTTAGCTACTGATTCTTAGTTTAGAAAGGGCAGAGGAGGCTAGTCGCCTCTCAGAGAAGGTTTTAAGAAAGACTTCCTTTAAGTCATACCAGTTAACATGGCCAGACTGTAATGTATTGTCATGTTATCAGAAGCAGCTAAATAACTGGAATTTGAGAGCAGTTCAACCTTAATGGATTTTTTTTTTTTTAGACAGGGTCTTGCTCTGTCACCCAGGTGGAGTGCAGTGGCATGATCATAACTCACTACA